AAGTAGAACTGCTTCTGTTATACACAAACTTCTTGTTTGATTTCAAACAAATCTAGAACCCAAACCACCGTTCAAATTCTTTTATTATACTTTATAAATCAATCACAAACAACAAATTTAGATGAATTAAGAAGGAAATAAGAGCACACCAGTTCAACTCAATGAACCTTTTATGAAATAGAAAACTCATTGAAGTTGAAACCTAAGAACAAAAAGAGGAGCAATAACATTGGAGATCCATCGAGCTTCAAACATCGAGCTTCAAACATCGTACAAGACAATGTGAAACAAAAGCCGTTTTGTTATTAATTAGAAACATAGAATCATAAAATATAGAGAAGAAAGGAATGACTTGCATATGCGAAGAGATTAACCTTGGGCAAAGATAAAAAAAATCATAAAATATAGAGAGGAAAGGATGACTTGCATATGCGAACGATTAACCTTGGGCAAAGATAAAAAAAACCCATTCAAGGTCAATGCCTAGGAAGAGGAGTAAAGGCGGAAGATATAACTGATCAAACATTGTCTTCAGCAATAGAAGCAACAAAATAGTTCTTCTGTTAGTTCATTGAGGAGAGACAGAATCATTCGGTGATGCCAGTGCAGAGGAAACAAGCGAGATAATTAATTAAGGCCACACCATAACTATTTGATTGAACTTCATTCTATTCGCCATGGATTGATATCAGAGTTGAAATCTTGTACTTGTCAAGTTTAAATACTCAACAATTAAACCACAGTACCAAGAGATACCGGAAGATTGATTTTCAAAAGCGGCCTTATACTAGGAAGTGAAAGAGGCTCAAACTATTGCACTATGGAGGGAATTTCAGAGAAAGTTAGAAAGAGATAAAAACAAAGGTAAAGAAGCACACAAATTCTAATTTAAAATTAAAAATGAAATTACACAACACTTAGTAAAAGAAATAGTATCTTTCATGTTAGCCAATTACCAATTTACCTTTAGAGAAAATCAAGGAGAGAGCAGGAATTTTAAAATAGAGAAAATTTCATCAAAATCTAATATGAACATTGAAGTATCAAGTACCATAAAAATACATATTGTAGACTTAGAGGGCTTGCTAATCATGATGGAAAAGTCCTCCGGTTGTCGAAGTTTAACTTCGTATATGTTTAATATTAAAAAATATACAACAAATTCATTTAGTGTAATTAGTTATGATTTTTATTTTTGTTTGAAAAAAACCTGGGTTCTAATCCTTATGTTGATATTTTTTTATATGAAATAAATAATTAATTGTAAAAAATGTCATTCCTATTTTCACATTATTGCAGAAAATTTGAAATGGAGAAAAGTATATAAAACTCTACCATATATTATTGAAGGAGATTTATCAAAACCTTTTCATCACGAAGCCTACATACATGACATGATTAATCAGAAGTGTCTGAAATTTCTTCATCGGGCTACACCAAACAGGATCAGCAACATGTTTACGTGCCTCTCAAAATTCCAGGTGTGCGCATGAAGCTATAACCTGCCATTTTAACCCGCATACTCCACGAAACCTGAGAAATAAATCAAGAGCATTTACCCAAACCCATTTGCACAAGCAAAAAGATCCGCAGACGTGGTCGCCCCACTTGCCTATGCAATTCCAAAATGGTTGAGTAACACAAACGAGTTTGGATAAATACTGCAGCTTGGACCTGGGTCGCGATCAGTGTCAGTCTCTCAATCACAACGCATATATGTGTAATTTGTCGTTGGGTCGCTCTATTAATTGCCGCCCACGCACCTAATAAAAATGAAAAGGGGGTGCTTCGTGAAAGCAACTTCAAAGGAAAGAAGCTATCTTGCATTTCGGATTTCGACACAGCAATGAAAAGTGCATTTTTGTCTTCACCTTTGCTCACTGCCCGCCGCGTATATGGTTTGACACTCAACAACGATTTCCCATTGAGAAAAACGTGATTCCAATCTTCATGGGTTGAGTTGTCATTTGCCAAGCTTCATGCACAGAAAGTTCATAAGAGAGGATTTCCTTGTTGAATTTGAGTGGTTGATTTGTCCCTTAAATGTCAAGTATGATGAATTAAAAAAATTTCGTATTTATTGGGTCAATCAATATTTTAACGTGTGTTTGAGTAGAAAGATTTGGATTTCATATACTAAATCATTTGTTTGGATATTAGTTACATTTGATATTTGGATTTGTACCAAATTCATGGAGTGATTTACAAATACATGTATAGCGTATTACTTGTGAATTTCAAACACATGTCAAGAACTAGTGATTTGAAATTCCTAAAACCATCAAATTTGACATCTTTTTGAAATTTTAAAAATGAAAGTATTAAAATTTTATTTTACCACCAAAATTCCTCGACCTACTTTTAAAAAAAATAAAGTTTTGGTACTAAATGTAAGTAAAGATAAGTTTAGGTGTCAAAATAAAATTTTTCAAAATGGTCATATGTGACCAAAATACTCAAAATTAAAATAAAAGGTCACAACGTCTATACTACCAACAAATTACAAATGAGCATATTCAAACAAAAAATTTGAATTGCATGTATTTCAAATGCAAGCATTTATAATCAAATGCAAGCATTTATAAAACATCTATCCAAACACTCTTATAAAATTAGGTTATAGGTATAATATGTGTTCTACTATGCATTTTTATCAAACACGCCCTCTGTTCTTATTTTACATCATACATGTCCTTGCATTTCTAAAAAATTATCAAACATGAAAGGGGAAAACTTAACTTTTCCCTCCCATTTTGCCAAGGTGAGATTGTCAGTCGGACCGTGATTGACGATTTTTTTATAGAAGCATGTTTGATGTTTTTTCCAAAATACCAAAAATGTTTGAGGTACAAAATAATAGAGTGACAAATTTTATAAAAATTTCAAAGACTTCCACAATCAATCGGACAATGTTTGTTCACAAAGCGTGCAATTCTCATTTCTCACACAAAGCATTGAGATTTTCCAGATCAGTATGCATTTTGTATGGTCTGTCATGGCAGCCCATCAAATCAACGTGGGGCTTCTGTAGGCCGATTTCATTAATTTGCTTTGATATTTTAGATAAGTAGTGCAATAATTAATATTATTGGGCCAGGCGCCTTTCTTCATGGCCCACTCCATCCCCACTCCATCCCCAATAATATATAGTACACTTTTGTGTACTTTTCTCTATTTCAAATTTTCTACAACGAGAGTGAAAGTAGGAAGGACATTTTTGTCTTTACAATTAATTATTTATCTCACAGTAAAAATATCAACATAAGGATTTGAACCCGGGTCTCTTCAAACAAAGACAACAATCACAACCACTTACACTGAACAAATTTGTTGTGTCATTTCGAATACAAAATATACACGAAGTTCAACTCTCTGAAAATCGCAGGACTTTCCATCATGATTACCAAGCCCACTAAGTATACCGTAGGTATTCTTATAGTGCTTGATACTTCAATTTTCATAGTAGATCGAGTTTCATGTAATTTTCTCAATTTTAAAAATTCTTTCTCTCTCATTGATTTTTGCTAAAGGTAAATTGGTAATTGGCTAAAATGGAAAAAAACTAATTTTGTCACTACGTGTTGTGTCTTTGCATTTTTCAATTTAAATTTTGTGGTTTTATCTTTGTTTTTATCTCTTTCTAACTTTCTCGAAAATTTCCTCCATCGTACAATAGTTGCGCCCCCTTTCACTTCCCAGTACAAGGCCGCCTTTGAAAATCGATCATCTAGTATCTCTTGGCACACGGTTTTATTGTTGGAGGTTTAAGTTGGGCAAGTAAAAGAGTTTAATCAATAATAGAGTTGCAGAAGGAGGATTCAAAATTGAATTTTTGGTTGAAACATATGTCTCTTGAGATAAAAATTTGGTTGTACAAAGAAGAGTGGTGGCTATTGGATCTTTATGTTTATGATTTTTACATCTATCACAACCTATTTCTATCTTAAAACGAGGAATCATTGATTGATTGATTGAAGTAGGTCGATTCTTTATTCAACCTACTGGAACTGATGGACAAGGAGTGTGTAATTTTGTGCATTATTACTTTGATTGAGTCTATTAGTATGTTGGAGATAACCCTAATTTTGTCGTTTGCTCTCAAGTTTTGATGGTCCCCTCTTAGCTGAGTTGTTAGTATATAGTTGACTTGAATCAACAACTCTCAATTTCTTTTTGATTGGTGGCATATTGTTCATTAATGGAGCGCATTAAACCCTTATGTATGATTGTGAGGTGATTTAGTTTCAAACTATCTAATGGTCGTGTGGAATTTCACTGAGCTTTTATACCCTCTTTCTTGACAATCAACTAACCAATAGTATTTTAACGATGGCTTAATTATCATTATGAAAATGGAATTAATGTTACATTTTATATTTTACATTCTTAAATGATGATGGTATTTCTCCGAATGTTAGACTTACATATTCTTTCTTTATGTATCATTTCGATCGAAGGATTGTCAATAAAATTAAACCGGTTGATTGGCTTAAACATAACATAAAAATATAAATAATCAAATAAAAACATTCCGGCCAATGGGCCGGGTTATAAGCTAGTAATTATTATGATAGAGTTTTAGAGTACATTTCAATCAAAGCCTGCTAGGATCGGATACTATGCCTGTATCTCAAAATGGGTAGTTATCATAAATGGTCATAAAACTATTCACTTTGTACAAAAAGGTCACAAACCTTTAATTTTGCACGTTTCGGTAATAAAAGTTTGAGTGGATAGCAAAAAGGCTATATTACACGTTTGGTCACTCAAATTATACAAATCTTTCAAGTTTGCCATTCGAATTACTTTTCTTTCTTATTCGCCACTAACTTTACGAATCGTTTCACCGTTAGTCACCGGCCGTTACATTCTGTTAACTTTGTCCTACATGGCAGTCAAGTATAAAGTTTGACGGTTTACTAGATGACGTGGTAATTAAAATAAAAATTCCACCTCATCATCCCACTTACTTTATCTATATATTTTATCATATTAATTATTTAATAAAAAATCAATAAATTACATGTCCTCGGCCTCCGTTTAGCCAACGCAAGCGCATTACTGGTGTACTTCTTCGCCTCCGCGGCACGGGCGTACACCGCCTTGGCCTCCCCCGACGCCCCGGAAGCCGTTCGTCAGCGAGACACTCATCCACGGCTGCACGTTGCTCATCTGGAAGCGGAACATCTCCGCCGACGCTCCCGTCGTGCCCAGTTGCCGCATCTGCTTTAGGGGGTCGCAAATCTCCTCCGCGGCGTCGTCGATGTTGGAGAGGCAGTCGTGGAGAGCGGAGGCGGCGCGGAGGTCGGTGCTGGAGTAGCGGGAGAGGGAGGTGTAGCAGACGTCTGGCGTGGCGTTGCAGCTGGAGCGGGTGTAGGCGGCATTCCATTTGACGGCGACGCTACGTGGCAGGAAGTGGGCATCGTGAGATCGTTAGAAGCCATCAACTGTCCGCTGGTGTTTGATATCTCCGTCGCCAAAGCAAGCAAGCAAGCAGGGGAGGTAGAGTTCCTTCGTCAACAGGGTTAGTCTGAGGAAGCAAGGTGAAGACCCTTTGCACAAACCCAGACAGTAAGCACAACATGGAGAACGTGGAGCTCGCGACTATCATGTACTGTGTCAGTTTTTCTCCTACCCTACCTTACCCTCCATACGTCAGAATTATCACATAAATGTTGGGTTGTTATCTGAATCAAGATTGAGGTGAGTGCAGACTGCAGGGGGTGGTGATATCGACATTGGTGTACTACCTGCAGACATTGTGTATCAGCAAAAAGGGTCTTGTATTTACTGCAATGTTCAGTCCTCTGCTTCTCGTGATCGTAGGGGCATTCTCTTCCATTGCTTTCGCGGAGCAACTTCATCTTGACAGGTGAGTCTTGCTCTGTACCTGTGTTTTTCTTTTTTGGCAGTTCCTCTCAGCAACTTCGTGATATTGATTAAGCAACTGTTTTGTTTGTGCTCTGGTGGCCTTAGCTTGGCAGGGGCACTGATAATCATTCTGGAGCTATACAGTGTGCTATGGGAAAAAAGTGGAGACCATACATCTTTGTCCACAGCAGCAGGAGCAGGGCAGAAAGGAAACGCAGTTGGTATAGATGGTACTGTTAGCACAACACAAAATAGCTCCGCCCCCCATAGAAACCAACAGAAGTCAGCAGAATACATGGCAGTTATGAATTGAGATCAAATAAGATGACGGCCGAAATTCGCTTACCAGCCAATGTATCTGTACATTCCCTGCATCAAATTCAATCAAACTAAAAACATATATAACTCCTCTGGGGTTGATACTAAGAGGAAGAGGAGTAGCGGGAGTGTGATGATGGTGGTGAGGGTCATGATAAATAAATAAAAATTAATTATTTATCATATTATTTTTTAATTAATTATTATTAAATAATTAGTATGATATGGTGGAAAATCAATTATTTTTTTTTATTTTTTTTAATTTCCACGTCATCTAGTTAACGGTCAAACTTTATAGTTGACTGCCACGTAGGACAAAGTTAACGGAGTGTAACGGTCGGTGACCAACCGTGAAACGATTCGTAAAGTTAGTGGCGAATAAGAAAGAAAAGTAATTCGGGTGGTAAACGTGAAAGATTTGTATAATATGAGTGACCAAACATGTAATTTAGCCATAACAAAAAGGTCAATCCGTCCATTTTCATCCAAAAATCCGTTATATTTGCCTAGTCAGCATGACACATCAATAAAAATGTTAATAAAAAAATTATTTAATAATCCAAATTAACCCTCACAACCCAACCGGTTCAATCTCCCGGTCATCTCTTTGATTCTTCGGCATCAGTACACAAATGGCGGATCAAGTCAACTGCTTCTTGATTAGAAGCCTTTGGAATGGGAAGGAGTGAAATTGAATCAGTTTCCCCAATCAATACCTATGAACAAAGTGGTATCAATCTTTCTTACCATATCCCACAACCAATCGGAGGTCAAGATCAGGAACTCCAAATCTCATTGAATCCGCACAACTTTTGTCTCCGGCTCGGCAACCATGAACTCTAGAAGATGCCCATCTCTGATCCCTCTCGTCACGCCAAGAGACCCCTGAATTCGCCAAACACCCCTGCAGCAATCCACGTAACCGCCAAGGGCCTCGATTCGCTCCATTTCCACCGGACGAGAAGCTCGATGATCCGACGTGAGAGCAGTGGCGGATCCAGCAATTTTTTGTAGGGGTGTCCTCTTTCAAAAATTAAATTAAATTAATAATTAAGTTAAATAATACATAAATAATAAAATATCCAATTAGTATAAATGTTCACAAAAAGCCACGATGTGTTTTCAATTTCGAAAAAAATATAAGATAGATTTGGTGTGTACACTGCTCAACAAATCGGTATATCCTACTAGATCGCATATTCAATTTCTACCTTGTTCATGATGTAATTCAAAGTTGAAAAGACTGTTTCAACACTTGCAGTGTAACCATAAAATCAATTCAAATTAGGGTACCCCTGGGGATAAGAAATCGTGTTTTCAACATTACATAGTGTTTAAAATAGAACAACAAATGAGTTATAACCTAATGGAGAAGATGTTAAATAATAGGAGTGTCTTAGATTTGAATAACACAGAGTACCACTTATATTTTTTTTAATCACGCAAACTACTATCGAGGGTAAGATAATCACTTATTAAAATTTTAGGGGTGTCCCAGATTACTAATTATATTTTATACGAAATTACTACCGGAGGTTGAATAATCGTGTTCCCAAAATTTAAGGGTGTCCCGGGACACCCCTAAAGCACCATGTATCCGCCACTGCGTGAGAGCCTCCGCGACTCCTCTCCTGCTCATCACGGCGCCGCAGTCGCCGGCGACACCACGAGGTTGCTGTTCTGACCGCCTCTTCGAATCCACCATCGTTAGATATAGACAACGATGACACTTCGGCGGTGATGTTTTCCCCAAATTATTTGATGCGAATCCAGTTGCTCTCGCTCCACCGTGTCCGTCGCAGACTCTGAACGTAGCCTACATCAATTGAGAAGCAGAATTGAGCTTTTGACCTACTTTTTCTTTTCGGTTGACTTTCTGCAAATCAAGAAGGGTGGGTATTAGCTATTAGGGTACGGCGGGGTCCTGGGTGGGTATAGAGCCACTGAATCGGTTGGGTTTTGTGGTTTAATTCAGATGATTAATTGTTTTTTTATTAATATTTTTAATGATGTGCCATGCTGACTGTGCAAAAGTAAGAGATTTTTGGACGAAAGTAGACGGATTGACCCTTTTGTTATTCACGCAAACTTGTATCATTGAAACGTGCAAAATTAAAGATTTGTGACCGTTTTGTACAAAGTGAATAGTTTTGTGACCATTTATGATAACTACCGTCTCAAAATGTGTATGATGTTTTACACCCTCTTCTTGCTTTGTCTCTTTTTTCGCTGAAACATTTGGCAAGTATTAATGGCAAGTATTAATGGAAGTTTTTTTTATTTTATTTTGGTAATTTTGTAAATTGGGTAAGCTTTAACGGTCATAATAATTATGAATGGGAAAAGGACAATTTAGCTGGGTGGGGAAAGTGCCTTTATGGCTCCCATATTCCCGGTTTCTATTCCCTCTCGCTCTTCTACTATTTAACTCCACGACCGTCGGGAACGATAGGTCAGCTTCATCACTCGACGGTCGGCGGGATCTATCAGTTGCAAAGATGGATGATTACATCTCCGAGTTGTACAATTCCAAATTCCTCTTCTGATACAAATTTTTTCTAAACACAGGTGTGGTAGCCACCGTGGTCCCAGAAGATTAGTTGACATCAAAGCACTTGCTTTTCGAGGACGATGATGAATTTATTAGGTTCCACAAGAAATGAATGAGTACTACAGTAGTGGTATTTGTATCATTGAAGTGATATTGCATCACGTAGTTTTATCGCGCCGTATGATTTAGTACCACTACAATGGTATTTTTAACACTGTATTCCACAATTCTAAATAGCTCTTATGATACAAATTTGTTCTAAACACAGCTTCTTCAGTATAGCCCTTCTCTCCCTTGACACGTTCTCTTCGTCCTTGCCATTCTTGCTAACGTTAGAAAATAAGTCAATAATAAGAACTATCAACTCAGTGATAGATAGATGAGATCAGTAAGAAAACTATCACTATAGATATATAAAAAAACGACTATCGCTGGATTGATACTATTAGTGTCCAGAGTCAATAAATTATACCAATCTTGTGATAGATCTACCCAGAAAGCCATTTCAAACAAAAATATCACTGTAGTGGTACTTTTATTAGCCACAATGAAATTTTTTCTACCACTGCTGTGGACATTTCAAACAACACTATCAGTATAGTACAACTTTTATTATCCTTACTAAAATTTTATAACAATGCAATGATAGACACACCTCCGACAAATTGGATACACAACTATCACTGAAGTGGTACAATTATTAGCCATAATATTTTTGTGATACCACTCTAGTGATAGAAACAAAACTACCACTGTAGTAGTACGGTTCCGAGCCATACTCAACATTTTACACCAATACAATCACAAACATAACCACAATGGTGGGCAATCCGACCTACCACTGGATAGGATCACTTTCTAGCGATAATAACCAATCTATGCCACTCCAGTGATAGAGATGCAAAAAACGAATTCAAAATACTAATATCACTGCAGTGGTATACTATAATGAAGGAGATGAATAAATCGCTGAATTGTGGTGGTTCAAGCAGAAACCCTTCAGTGGTGTACAATAATAAAGGAGATGAATAAATCGTTGAATTGTGGTGGTTCAAGCAGAAGCCCCTCACCGTCAAATCTTGTCGTCGCCACTTAGGGTCAATCGTTGGTTGTTGGTCCCAAGATTCGAACTTAAGATGCCATGCATGTTCTCCACTCCACATTATTATTAGGCCAACCCTTTTGGGTTACAAAATTAAATTTCATCCCCTTGATGATTTTTTTTGTGGTCGAAACCTTCACTGGTAATTTAAAAATAACTTAGGAATGGTTTATATGTAGGAATTCTAACAAATCAATTTGATCCAATTTTCTTATTCTGAGATAATTGGTCAGATCACTTCATTTGGCATCATAAAATTTGGACGGACCGACGGAGCAATTTCGTCTGAGAAATTTGAAATTGACTTGTTTTGAAACAATTACAATTTTCTAGGATAGGGTGCATTTGTATTTGCAGCCTTAATGTTTTTTGCTGGTCGGTGTTGCTCCAAAATTTGTTTGTAAAATCTATGACGAATCACCATTAGAAGCACTACAAGAACATGATTCGAATTGATCCGTTTTAAGTAACTCATTTTTTTAAAATAAGACAACTTAGTCATATTAATTCGTTTTCCAGTTGATCCATCCAAATGACTGTTATTCAGTTCATGGAAAAGTAACAATTTTCGAGAGAGTGAACACTTCCATTCTACATCTCTACAAATATTTTATAGCAGAGTTGGATGCATTTTTTCAGCATTTCAAATTTCTGGTCACTAGAGCGAAAGTAGGAAGGGTAGATTTATCTTCACAATTATTATTTATTCCTTATTCATAAGAAAAAATCACATCAGTCTCGGGATTTGAACCATATTTTTTTCAGATGAAGACAACAATCATTACCAATTACACTAAGTAAATGTTTTGTATCTTTTTATTTGAAAAATACAAAACCTAAAATATGAAAAACCATATGACTATTCCACTACCTTTAGCTAGCCCACTAACTCTCCCGTAAGTACTTTTCTTGATGTTTGATATTTGAATTCTCATATTTTGATTATTTTATTTTGACTTTAATAATTAATTTAATTTACGTCTATCTTATAAATGGAGGATAATTTTATAATTGCAATCTAAATATAATTTATTCAAATATTACCAATTGAATTGTAGTAATGATGTGTAGATGCATGCGATGTAGAATTCTTAACTTATTATTCATTTTTGGAACTACAATAAAGCAATGGTATTGTTATGCAAAAAAATAAGTGATCAGTTCTTTGAAAATTTTAGTTTGGTTAATCGTTAAATCCTAAAATCTCTTTATAATGCAACATGATTGGACCCATAGGTGAATTTATGAATATCAATTGTGTAGATGATTTCACTATTTAAATATGTTATCTTATAGAGTAATTGACCAAATTTATAATTTAGAGTTCTCTAGTTTAATATGAAATAACCACAGTATAAGACAAATCATGAAAGTCGGGCCAGAGTTTTCATGAACGTATTGATGTGGTCATGTGCATTAGCAAGGTAGGTATCACAAGGCAGGTTTAAATTTTTTGTTCTATGAATAAGATTGTGCCAGTTGATTTTGTGAATTAGTGGAGCTAGGACCGTTGAATTCATGTGGTAATGGTGACTCTATGTGGATTGTGTTTTGGACTCGTGTATCGAACAGGGTGCTCATGTGAAAAATGAAATGCAGTTGGTCTTCCATGTCAAAATCATTAAATCTTAAACATGGGGTAAGCCCAACGTGTGCGGCACCGTTCATTGCACAAAATCGAGTTTTGGAAGAGATTTTAGTGATCCTTAGTGGGGTACTCCTACAAGGTGAAGCTAAGCCGTCTCTAGTACAAGTAAAACTTCCACCCGTTGAACGGTTTGCCTACTTGAGGATGTGTTTTTAAGGGCACAGATAGAGCTTCCAACCCCCCTTAATTTCATTGACCCTCCACACGAGTTGAGGAAAAGGAGTTAAGAGAAGTACTCTAGCGAGCGCCAGATGTACGGAAATTGCTCTTGCTCGATTAATAAGGGTCGACCGTGTAAGAGACTGCAGTTGGAACCCCCGCTAAGTGAATAAAAAAAAAGAAAACAAAAGTAAAGTGAAAGTGAAAAAGGGGTTCCAACGGTGAAATGAAGTGAAAGAGCACCCCGGTACAACGAGTCCTTGGTTGTGAATGTTGTGAGTCCCTTTATCCATGAACTGACTGTCTTACTTCCACTGCTTCTCATGATCCTGGCTTGAGTCTAGTACTCGTATTGAGAGAGATAGGGAATGTCTTAGAAGACCAGTTGACCTCGTAAGCTGCTATATGATCTAGAAAATCCTCTACCGACGATCGAGGTTGTCTATTGCTATAGAGGTCTCGAGAGTTGCATTGGTTTGAGTTAGGTTTACTTGGGGACAAGCAAACGATTAAGTGTGGGGGAGTTTGATAGACCATTGATTACACATGTTTTTACCTCTATTCTTGAGCCGTTTGAGATGTCGATTCCCTTGTTTTAGGCCAATTTCACGCTAGGTTGTTCTTGTTTGTGATATTTCAGGTCCTAGTACGTGAATGAAGGTTTAGGAACGAGTTCGGGGTCGATTGGACGGAGTTTGGACATTTGGCGAGAAGCTGGGAAGCCACACGGGCATGCCCAAAAGCCACACGGCCGTGTAGGAGACCCACTGTGGTCTTGTGAAGGCTCGGCAAAAGCCACACGGGCAGCCTGGACACTCACACGGCCGTGTGGGTCGTGGCCGCGTAGGAAGCCTGAAGTCACTTAACGAAACCCCGCGTTGTGCAAAGCCACATGGGCAGCTGGGGGAGTCACACGGTCGTGTGACATGGCCGTGTGAGTCGGGATTTTCTGGTTTTAAGCCAATTTCCAGCCACAAGTGAGGGAGTTCCGAGTTTTAGAGAGAGAGCGATTCCTAGAGAGAGAAAGCGACGAACAAGAGTTCCCAAGTGCCCTAGCTTGATCTTCATTACCATTGGAGCCCGGCTTGAGCTTGGAGAAGTGCCGATCGACGCCCAGGAGCAGAAACCCATCCTTCACAGTATGGTTTCCGCATCTGAATCTGCTTTTGCTTCTTTCTCCATGGAGTAGTTCTCCCATTCATCTGGGTATGGAGAACCCTAGATTTGTATGTTAGGTCTGATTGTATGAACTCAAGTACAGATTCTATGATTTGATTATCTTCAATTGAAGTTTGAATGATTGAATGGCATGAATCATGATCAAATTCCTGTTGTTTCTGCTTTAACCTAGAAAGAGAATATCTGCCTAGGTTGATAGAGCACCCTTAATTGAAGGTAGTGAATTGGCGACTTTAGTCGAGGAGCCAATTCACTATTCTGTACCGAATTTACTTCGGTAGTGGAGGTTTGGTTCGTTAGGGCCTCAATCTGTTTACTCCGGCGGAGGTTAGTCGCCCGCTGGGGACTCAGATTGAGAGGGTCTGGAGACCTTTAATCGAGACTTCAGACTGTTTAAGAACCTTCCGCAGTATAACTTTCATAGAAACTGAACTTGGTAATTGCAATCCGGCTTAACTGCAGTCTAGGGGGAACCATATCCGGGTGACCTCTCTCGACTTGAAACAACCGTTTAACTTGCTTTGTGTTTTTGCTTGTTTGAACCTGCACTTAAGTTTCACCACTAGATAATAAGAATTCACTGAGTAGTCATCACATCTAGGACCCGGGTTGACATTAAAACCCAAACCCGCTATACTACGCTTTAGGAAGTGGTTACACTTGGCCATTTTCTAGAGTGACACTAGGAGTGAGTGAGAGGCACCCTAACATTCGTTTTACAAACTCAAAGAGCACGTCCTTTACTAACCGAGTAAGGAGACATGCAAGACCCGAAGGAAATATGATCCTGGTTACGTACAAGGTAAATTCGACTCCAACAGACCGAATGTTGATACCATTGTCGGGTACTTACACCTTCTCCATAAAGGGAGTAAGTTACTAGTTCTTTTCCTTTTTATTATTGTTTTGAATATTCTGTTACTTTTCTTTGGGTGATTGTTTAGTCTTTTGTTTTAGTTGTTTGTGTGTATTTCTAGTGTTTGTTCATATTCAGTTTTTTATTTTTTATTTTATGTATAGTATTCCGTAGTCTGTGTTCAGGAGTGAAAACAAGGGATTCCTTGCTTGACAGTTTTTGTTTCCAGCTTCTGTATATGAGCCCAACATGGCAAACCTCTTTCATTACTTGCTATGATAGGTGGAAAAATACTGCACGTTTTTCTCCAGTAGCTAATCCACAAGGAAGTAACTAATGTGGAGTTGGGTGACATGTGCAAGGAGATTCGAGCCAATTAAAAATTGCCACCACGTCCATCAAACAGTCGGGAAGGGCTCAGTATTTGATCCAACGAAAATCAACATCTGTGAGCATGTTCTTACAAATAAATTGTGAGTACCATAGTCGGGTTGCACAAACAAAAGGCGATGAAATAATACGATCCATATATTACCATGAAAAGCCCGTTAAGGGACTGCTGCAATGATACATATAGAAACATTTGGGAGAGATTTCTCCTCTGAAGTTCTTGCTATTACCCTACCCACCAACATGAATTCTCATGCATGATGTATATTGCTCATGTATGAGCAGATTCTATACAGAACTGTGACCAAAATTTTAAGCAACCCCAGGAATCACTTACCATTTGTTGCCTTACACTTACAGACACAATACAAACCATCACTCTATCAACTCCATTATAATATCTATCCACCTAAACTTGTATTTCCCCTCACTTCTCACCATCCTTTCCCTATGAGCCACAGCCAGTCAAGAGTAACACCTGCGACTATACCTGCTAGCAGAAACACCACCAGCAAATTCCCCAATGCATTTTGCTCCGGTCCCTATACAGCCAACAAAACAGAAAAGGAGTAATCTCAGTCTGCAACCAACCACAAGCTCAAAACCTTAGTCAGTTCATTACTGGTTGTGTAAAAAAATCAAACCTTGTAGCCTTTTGGTGCGGCTGTAAGGACACAGACAGTAAGGTAGCCATTTGTCAAACCCAGCACAGACGTTAGGAATATCATCCAGCCTTGGTCGCCATACTTGGTAGTGAAGTAGAACGCCGGAACTAGCACGAATCTAGACACGACTGCCGCGGCCAGACCTTTTCGAGACTCTAATTTCATGAACTTCAGGAGAGGAATGTACCTCCCAACGAGATCCCAGACATTGTACATTGCAATCAGAACAAGCGCATACCTGAACCATAAAAAAAAATTGCCCTGTTTCATCCCCTGCTCATCGATCTGATCTTTCTAAGCAAAAACAAAACGAAGACATACCATGTTCCCAAACTATGTGATCCAGTGTCTTCGGACAAGAATCCGGGAAAAATCGACAGTGTCAATGCATAGATCAGAAAGATATCCACCGCATAGTCAGCATTCTGCTTCAATAGCTCCTTGTTGCTGAATCGGGTCTCGTATTTAGCTCGTTCGACTGCCTAATCGCGACATTCGTGTAAATTCAAACTCTGAGACCGAAAAGAAAGGGGTAAAAAACGAAAAGAAGCAAAGTGTGTACTTCTTGGTCGGGTAATGTTTGGAGTCCACCAGCAGCAAGGTCAGCACAAACCGTCTTGGACCCTTCAGTGGCTGCCTTTGCACGATAGTACTTCACCACAGGAAGTTTAGGGAAGACAAACGCGTAAAGAACGACGCATATAAGCTCGAAAAACGACGAGATGGCGAAGAACAGAAGGGCTCCCTTGCGAAGACCGTTCTTAGTATTCTCGAACGCTGCTTTAGTGATCAGCCTTAGTGCCGAGGTTAGTGCACCTGATGCTGCTAGGCCTGCAAGGAATGACTAGTAACCCAGAAATGTGAGTCATTAGAGTTGTATATATGGTTGAATCCCCCGCAAGCTGAAACTGTAATTCAGATTTCTGATGAGTTGTTTGATGAATTAGCGGACCTGAATGAACTGAGGATGCATGAAGGAGAGATCTCCAATCATTCCACCTTGGACATGAGCATCTGCAACTCCAAATAACCCACTTACGATACATATTCCTACGAAAGCTACTAGGCCTCCTTTACCTGATGTGGCCAAATCCAACTATGCAAATTGGAAAGCGGGTGAGAAAGTGTTTATATATGATAGGAGAGGACAATTAGACAGAGCAGGGAGGACAATAGGTAACACGAAAGAGGCAGAAGTGGGTTACTCACGACTAGAACTGCAAGAGAGCTTAGGAAGAAAAGTGCATAGCCAACCAAGTTTCTGTTCCTAGTGTTGATCTTGGCTTCTCTGGATGCAAGAATGACAATTGTTGTAAGTGCACATGGTTGATACACGAGCGTCAAGACTCTCGAGGGATGATATTTCTGCAAATTGGTAACATTTTGTGACAAGAAAAGAAGACAAAATATTAGTGGGTCATTTGACTAGCACGTAATGCAGAATGCATGAATTTTCAAAACCCATGTATTTTATAGGCGAGATTGTGAGAATTCTTTTTCTGGACGGATGATTGTGAGAATACAGTTTTCGACTTGATGGAAATAATGGTCCTGCATAATTGGATCAATTGTTGAATGCTTTTGGATTGGACAATACATTTCTATAGTAGCCTTCAACATGGAAACTTACATTCTGGAAATCAATAACGATTTCTTAGTAGCATTCAACATGAGATCTAAAAGGGGCAAAGACAGAAAGAGAGCTCAAGTTTTGAGAATACCGGGAAGAGGTGGACATAGTAATCTTCTATTGTGAGCATACTATTCCACGCGAAGAGACATCCGTTGCCAAGAATCCAACAAACAACAATTGCAGCAAATTTCCCCTGCATCAATCGGATTCCAAAGGAAATGAAGGTTTGGACATGGAGATGAGCTACATCGATGGGATTTTCTTTTTAACTTACCTCGATGTTGGGATGATCTGCATTATCAGTGAATGGTTTCATGATCAAAAGTTCCACACTCCGAACCCAATCCTTGCTAGAATATGATTCACTTTATATCAATAAAAACCGATGTGATGAAACTGAAGGATTACAAGGGAAAGCAATCGAATTGCTCTGTGTAAAGAATCAAGCTTTTATGATAAAGAGGACAACAAGATAGTGGCAAAAATCCATCTGTGTGAAGAAACAAATCCCAATCTGTAATAGAAAAGGAATCCATTCATGTACTAATAAAAGTTAAAAATACCTCGCCTTTGTATGAGAGGGTAGCAGGTTAACCACGAACACACTAACACTTGTGGTCTCTTTGGTTAGTTTTTGCGGGGTGCGTTGGAAAGTTGCTGGGTAATGCAGTTAGTGGTCAGCCGCTAATTACAGCACTCAATAGAATTGAACCACAATCTCTAAGGAATATGGACTATATCGTTATGGAGCTCGCTCAACGTTTAATACTTGTTATTATTAGGGTTTAGGGCTGGGAGAAAAAAATAGATCTGACTGTTTGAAGAATCGCGGACTAAACTGGAGCGTTTAGTTTGGTCCGAATTATAGATCGTTAAGAATGGTTTGTTGTGGTTCATGGTCTCTATTATAAGATGTATTGATTTCTTGGTTTGGTTTTGGTTAAGACCGTGGTTTCTAGACCAAATTGTAAACCCAACCCACTTTCCAAATTTGTGTTAGCAGCTCACCTGACCACTCTCTCAACTCCTCAACCGGACTAAAGTCTCAACCATAATTTTTCAAATCTCATTCCCCCTTCATTCATAAACTACATTTTGTTACCGAGTAGAGATGATTGTATCTCAATATGACATTATATTAAAGTTTATGACATTATGGTAAATGTTGGGTTGCTCTAACTTTGTGCTTTTGTTATTTACTTTGATTTATGGTATCCGAATTATGCGTGTGTTTTGTAATTTATGTTATAAGGGGAAAATAGATTTTTATCTCGATTATTGGTTCAAGTTTTGTGTGCCTGGCTAAACAAATAGTTCATTTTCGCTCAATATGGTCTGCACGGTCCGGACCGTACCGAACTAGACTGCACAACATGGTCTGTTATGAACCGTGTAGTATTTGGTTCGATTCCTGATCTATGCTAACCTTCTCTAACTATACCATTGCCCGTATGTATTGTCTGATCTGGACCATACCGCAAAGTTTTCTTGCCTAATAGGAATGACAATTACCCACTCAAGTAATTTTACCCAAACCTAAGTAACTATTTAATTAGATGTAGGGTATGGGTGAAGTTTATATGGGCTTTGGTTTTTGTAAATGAGTTTAGGTTGGGTATGGATGCTTATTTACTTGATGTTGTCTTATATATACATACAAAATCAAGCTTATTTGTAATGCTTAAAAAGTTTATGTATTAAAATTTAAGACATAAAATATAAAACAGGCTTATTTTGTTACTAAATATTAAAATATAAAATTTCATTGAGGACTTATATGTAAAATAATATTTTTTAGGTATAATTTTTCTAAGGATGGTTGCCAAATTGTAATTTTTATAAACATAATAAACATAAATATTATAAGTGGCTTAATCGACATTCAACCGTTGAAAATTTGTTAATGGATCAGTACTTCATAAAAATAAATATTATAAGTACTACACACTTTTTATGCATATTTTGTATCTATTTAAAACTTCACTCTTCAAATTATAATTATTTTGGGTACCATATGACAATAAACCACTATAAAACTAAATCTTAACAAAAACCATCAAACATAAATCATAAAAATAAATGAAATCTGAAAAACCCTACCTAACCTTAGGGTGGGCACGTGGGTAGTTAATCTGCGGGTCAATATTGATCCACCAGCAAGTAACCCAAACTGCAAGCAGTGAGTGATTGATATGGGTGGATTGCAGATTGATAAATCTCCTAACCACACTTATGTGGGTGGATGTTGGATGGATTGCGGGTCACCCGAATGACTCGCACTATATTTTCACATGACAAAATGTTATTCTTATGCTATAAAATATTCATCATGTTTCCTAGCTGCTCTACACACTGACCATCAACTTCTAAAAATGGAGAAAAAATAATATTCTTGGACTATTATTATTAGTTATTGTGTTGTATAATATCAATTAGATATTTGAAGCAAATTATAAACTATTAATATATCAAAGTCGCAAATGTGTTAGTTTTCTCAACTTTTCTACACAATTGGTTGATAGAGTATTGAAAATTTTGATGCAAATACTACATGGATTCACATGAGCCAAAGTGGAAAGTGTATAAATTGATACAATCTTGCTAATTTACCATAAACTTATTATAAATGTTAGTAAACTTTTTTAATGGCTAGTTTACGAATTGCTTTTGCAGGTAAACTTTTTTAATGGCTAGTCACAATTATACCAACTCGCTAGTAAGATCATGGTATGAAAGTAATGAGAGCATGATATTATGAATTCCTACCATAGAGGTATGATGTGAGTATGACTGTGGTAAGATAACATAAAGTCTTATGTTTGAGCAAATAATAATTATATCATACCACTATCGTATCATAATATGATATGACAATATTTTCTATTTTATCATAGTGGTAAGATCATTATATGACAATGACAAGATGATAGAAACACTTGTTTTCGAAGGGATAATTATTCTTCTCAAATTATAAAAAAATGGATTTCATTGGATAAATAATGAGTTCTTTTAATAATTTTTTAAGAGCTATTTTTTTAAAAAACGTAACAAAATATATATTATTGTGCATAGAATAATTCATTCATTATTTCTATGCAAAAAAATTTGAATTCTGAATTAGAACAAAAGATATATGACCTAATTAAGAAAAATAGGATATTAGAAATAGTACTCTTTGGCTGGTCAAAAGTATCATCTCACTCTTTTGAATTTCGTGTCAGCAAAAGAAAAATAATGGGGGTCTAATTATCAGACCGCCTCTCCTTGTCTCTTAATAAATTGTGGTCATCATATAACATAGGACTTTGTTACGGTGACTTGCAACACTTTCACTTGGAAAAACTGACCGGCCTCTTCAGTGTATGGTCAACCTATTTGGACAAGACGGTCGACCTCATTGTTAGAATGGTCGACCAGATGTACTATTTTTCATTTTGCTATGTCCAACAAACGATCGACCTCTTTCACTTAAAGTCGTCCACTATAGAAAAAAATGGTCTACCACTTCAATAAAGTGATCTATATCTCTCCCCAAGCGGTCCACCGCTTTCAATAATTAGCCCAACTAATGAACCATTGCTAGTGATATCATGAGTCAAGACATGTAATTAGAGTCCAATAATAATACATATGTTTGCTAGTAAGAGATTTAGAATTAGCACAAGGGCTACAAGCATGGATGACAAGTTTTTAGAGTGATTGTTCTCCCGTAGATTTGAAAAATGTTTCGCATATTTATATTTTATATTGGGTAATGTCTATTTTATATTCGAACCTTTTTTAGATTCTTTTATAATATCCAAAAATATTAAAATGCTATTAATTAGCCTAATCTTTCATAATGCACCAAAATATTAGCCATTTTTACATTATCGTTAATAATTTTGTAACAGTTTTCTTAGTTAAAATACCAAAATTTCGGAATGTTGACCTTCATGTTTCTCTTCTAAGTCAACATCATGTTGCCAAATCAATATTACTAACAAAATTGTTAACTGAAAGTTAATATTTGGCTAATTCTTAGTATTTCGATAGGTTTGGCTAATAAAAAAGAATCCGAAAAAGGTTTGTATAATAAATAGTTATTACCCTTTATATTTGACTTACTCTATAGAGACTTTCATATTTCTTTCAAATTCTATGTTTTCTTGTTTCTATCCTATAGTTATCTTGTGATTGATCAAATTTGTTGTTATTGTTGTTATGAAGATGCTCAAAGTAGAGTATATTTGTTATACAATTGTGTCATCTTCAACGTCCATAAATCTCGTATTATCACTTTTGTGGATTTTGATCCCAGAAGAGTTAAAAAGAGGTTGTTTCTTTTTGTCTTGACCTATAATCTATGTAGCAATTTGGTTGCCACAGGTGACAAGATAGTGCATTACTATAAAACAATTTTATATTTATCTCCTTTTGTCCATTATTTTCCTAAGGTAAGTATAAGATAACTGTGTCATCTAGTCGACCGTTCACCGAAAGAAGAGATCGTTCGCCGAAAGAGGTACATAAACCATTTTGCGAAATCGGTAGGCTGTTTTGGCGGAAGCGGTTTACCTCCTCCAACAAGTAGGTTGAAGTTGAAGGTAAGTGTGTCACAGGTCGACCCATTGCCAGAAGCGGTAGACCGGTTGCCTCAAGTGATAGACCGCTTTGTGGAAGCGGTAAACCATTTTCTTGGAAAGTGGTCAACCACTTGGTGGAAGAGATCGACCACTTAATGGTAATTGTGTCATCTGTTAGAGAGTTAAAGCCCATGAATCTGTATTTGTATACGTAGCCCATAGCCCATGTATATGTAGATGTAGGCCTTTTTCTTCTTCTTGTAACCGACCCATGAAGTCCATGCAACTTGGACGTGGGAGCTAGGGTTCGGTGCTGGCTGTTAGGGGTATATATATGTTGCTAGAGCTTAGGTTGAGGTACGCAGACTATTATCATAATCACATCAGTAGCTGAAGAGTTTATACTCTGCCGTGGATTAGTCCTGGATACTCCAGGGATACCACGTAAATCCGGTTTTTCGTGTTCTTTCGATTTTGCTATTTCCTATTGATTATCATGGTATCAGAGCCTCACGCGATGGAATCTGATCGCCCATATGTTCGGTTGACCTCGACCAATTTTTCTCTCTGGGAGTTCCAGTTCAAGGTGTTCATCGAAGGCAAAGGGTACCTGGGAATTCTCGATGGAACACTTCCATCCCCGGCGGCCACAGCTCCGGCAAAGGAGATTTCTGACTGGAAGCAGAGCGATGCCCGCGTCCGCTCCTGGCTTTTGGGGTCTGTCGACTCCTCCCGTGTTTGAGTCTTCGACTCTTTCCCTCAGCTAATCAGATGTGGCGCCACCTGACCACCACTTATTCCACCGTAAATCCGGCCCGACAATTCGAAATTCAGCTCTCCCTAGCTCGACTGGAACAGGGAGATCGTTCTATCACTGAGTACTTCAATCTGGCTCAAGAACTCTAGACGGAACAAGACATAGTGACTGCCGCGCTTCGTCCACAACCTGCCTCAGCTGATGCTATTCTCGAACGATAGCAGACTCGGCTACTCAATTTTTTGATGCGACTCAGGCCTGAATTTGAGGCTGTTCGCTACACTCTTCTGAACAAAGATGATCTCAAGTTCGATGGCGTCATACCTCTCCTTGTCTGCGAAGAAACCCGGCTTCGTACGCAAGCTCAACTCGATGTACGCCCTCATGAGAGCGAGACGGTTTTTGCTGCTTCCCAAGACCCGGCGACCTTTGCTGTTCAGCGCCCGCAATTCCAAAATCGAGGTATGCCCACTGACATCGAGTGTCATTTTTGCCATGAGAAGGGGCA